GGGTCAGTGAAGTGCTCAAGATTTTCAAAATGTTCTTACACATACCTTACAAAAATTTCCCTTGACTAAGGTAGTATAGCACATGACATTTTTGGAGCATGCTCTCATTGTGTACTCAGTGGAGTTTTGAAGTTGTGATCCTCAGCTTTCCAGGAGCTAAGAAAAGAGAGGCATCTCACCACCCCCAGCCCATAGGACTCTTGGTATCAGGTAACACATGATTTTACTTGAATCCCATTTTAGTACAGATCATTAAAATATCAACACTAGAGTAAAGGGGATTGAAAAAGAATTAAAAAGATTGGGTTTACTCTCTGCCAGTAGAGGTCTGAGTGTAATTAGCATAAGATGACTGTGGGCAGAATGTCGTAAAATGAAATATGTCCTCTTCATAGACATTTTAAACCAACATAGATAAAATATTATTACACTTTGAAAACATTTGTTTGTACATTTGCAACTCCAAGGACTAAACACACACACACACACACACACACACACACACACACACAGAGAGAGAGAGAGAGAGAGAGAGAGAGAGAGAGAGAGAGGAAACCCTTTATCATGGTATATCTTAAAGCAGTTTTAGAGACTGAAAAGAAGGCACAATAGTTAAGAGCACTGGCTGTTCTTGCAGAGGACCAGGATTCTATTCGCAGAACCCAGCACCCACATGGAGGCTAACAACCATCCATAACTCCAGTTCCAAGGGATCCGACATCCTCTTTTGACCACTTCAGGCCCTGCATGACACAGGTGCACCTACCTACATGCAGGCAATATACTCATACACATAAAATAAAAACAAAAATAAATGTTTTAAATTGAATTACAGATTCACCATAGTTATTATGTCAGGTTACTCAATGTCTAGATAAGATTTACACATTTTACATATGAGTACATAAGCACTTCATTCACCAACTATTCTTAATTTTAAAAATAAAGATGTTTGAGTCTTAATTTTGGAAGACAACTCATAATAACTATCAAAAGGACTAGTAAACATGGGCACGACAGCCTTACATTGACAAGGCTTTCTGCTAAATTTATTCAAGTGCAGAGCCAGTTAATTTTGAGTTTGATTTGTTTTAGTGAAAATGATTGCTTCTGCAGCTACAGAGATGACTCAGCAGTTAAGGCTGTTCTTACAGAGGACCCAGGTTTGATTCCCAGTACCCACATGGCGGCTAACAACTGTCTGTAACTCCAGTTCCAGGGGAATCTGATGTCTTCTTCTGACATCCATTTGCATTTTACAACATGAGTGTACTTACATACATGCAGTCAATACACTCATACACATAAATTAAAAACAATAAATAAAAAATAATTGCTTCTGAGAATGAAATTTTCTGAACTATAACATGAAATATACAAGTAGTTCTGAAGATTTGCCAAAATACAATTAATATATAACAAGATCATTTTAAAAATAATTTCAAACTATAGTATTTCTTAGTGACTTAGGGGCAATTTTATTTCAAAGTTCAGAGTAAAAAGAATTAATATTCGCTATTAAGGCTAAAGGCCTTATTATCTCTTACATTATTTAATAAGTAACTAGATGTTATAATTCATGAATGTACATTGAGAAATATTAATACTTCTTATGAATCCTTGATGTATTATGCTTGTAATGTTTTCTGTTTTAGGTTTGTAAAAATATACATATACCCTGAAAATTTCACATTGTTCCTACTCCTAATTCACATAATAATAATTAGCTGTGTATGTGTATATGCGTGTTTATGTGTAAATCTCTATATGAATACATGCCAGTGTATGCTTGTATGTATATTTGTGCATACACACACATATATATGTATATATGACAGGATGTATATTAAAGGAAAGCAGATGGAAAATATTCTCTATGTTACTATTATTCAGGAAGCATTGAAAATAAGAAATAATCTTATTTAGGGAAATTAAACTGCCCATACACATGACTCAATGAGGTGTTCATTACCCATTTTCAATTTTATTTTGATTTAATTCACAGTGTATAACATTGAGTCTTTCTCTATTTGGATTTTTCACTTTCAAGAGTATCTCGTCCAGTTCTTGAATAACAGAAAATAACAATAGGCTAAATGATCATTTCTTCTTGACTTGGGGATGAGATGCCATATAGTGTAATAGAAGTGCTAATCTATTTCACTTTGTTTTCACCAGGTAATGGTGTGTGAGGCTGTGTTAAAATCACATGGATTATTTAACATGAGTACTTCCCACAGGGAGTGGGGTGGTCTTATGTCAATGTCAGCCTTCCAATGTAAAAATGGGCCATTTTTTAGAATTGCGATTGGTGATTGCACCTAACATTGAACATGTTTTCTGAACAGTTATATTGTGTAAAAGTCACTTGTCCTTTTCCTCAAGAGGGAGACAAAGTTGAAAGAATAGAACTAAGATAAATTGGAGGCTGAGTGGTGAGAGGAAAGGAGAGACCTCTGTGAAGAAATTGCAGCAAAAATATTGATTCCAAATTAAAAATTTTATGTTCTTCATGCAAGTCCTCCATGTAAAGTGTCTAAATTAGAGTAGCCAGTTGTGATAATTTGTAACCTGGCAAAGGCTACGCAAGGTCAAAATGTAATACTTAACCATAGTGTAGAAAAAAAGTCTGTTAACAGCTGGAAACCACAGGGCAGCTAGAATAAATGAAGAAATGGGAGGCACTGCCTCAGTCATCTCTCAAGGTGACCAGCAAGTGCACAGTTATGAACTTTCAGTTGATGAGATATGACCAAAAACAGAAGTAAAGCCACTTCCATATTTTAAACAATGTGCTGGTAACTCTGCCTAATCATTGACAGACATATATATGTACTATAAAAATAACTTTTAATATATTTTTTTGTTATTTTTTGAGAATTTTGGAAAATGAGTATTGTATTTGCACCATTTCTGTCCCTTGCACTCCCCCTTCAGCTCCTCCCACTTCCTCTCAATTATTTCTTCTCTTCATACATATACATATATATATACTGCACTGAATCCATTTAGTAGTGCTCACATGTACATGTGTTTTAGGGCCATCCACTAGGGATTAGATAAATTATCAGGGAACTCATCACTGGGGAAACTGATACACCTCGTTTCAGCATCCTTTGATTGCTGCTACCTGTTCATCTAGAGGTGGGACCCTGTGAAATTCCCCGCATCCACATTGGTCTGTCAACCTTCTTGTCATTATACAGATCTTACTAGGTTATAATTTTGTGGAAATTCATGGGTTCAGCTTCTCTTTCATGTCTAAAATGCCTTATTATCTAACATCAGGTGTCTGGCTCCTCTGGCTTTAACAGTCTTTCTGCCCCCTCTTTCATGATGTTCCTTGAGCCTTAGGTGTAGGGACTGCATTGTAGATTTGTCAACTGAGGCCAGGCATCACCAGTTGCTTATTGTCTTTATTTTGATCAGTTGTGTAATTTTGCAATAGTCCCTATTTGTTTCGAAAAGAAGCTTCTTTGATGAGTAATGAGAGGTACACTTATCTGTGAGTATAAGATTAAGTCTTTAGAATATTGTAAGAAATTATACTGTTTAGGAAAGTGGCAGTTGTAGGTTTTGCCCTCAGGACTATGACCTCTCTAGTCACGTGTACTTGGCTATGTTTAAAGTACCATACATGGGTTCCCTCCTATTCAGTGGACTTTAGGTCTGATTAGACAACTGTTGATTACTCCCAAGATGAAAGTGCCACTATTGAACCAAAATACTAAGCAGTCATTGCTGTAGACTGTAGGTTTTACAGCTTGTTAGGACCACTGATTGATTTCTCTCATGGCAGCTTGCATGACAACTTCTGATACTATGTAAGATAGTCCCCAGGGAGGAGGTTTCCAAGTCAGATCCAGCTCAATTATTACAAACCCTGTGTCTGAACTATGTGGTGTCTGCAGCAGTAAGGTATTCCCGTCATGTTCTGGAAGGCAAACAAGGTCTATGGCAATAGCTTACTTTATTTTGGGAATTACTTGGACTATACTAAGCAACAGCTCAAAGGGAAGTTTCTCTTGCCTTGAACTAGGATTTTTGTTAGATAGCCATCAGGTACATACACATACAAGCATTTTTAAGTAGCTTGTGAAATAATACATTTCCTTACAGTTTTTCAGATAACCTTAATAGTGTCTGTGTCTACTATCCCAGTCTCTCAGCGCCTTAACTTTAAAACTCCTGGATCCAAAAATGACTGAACTCTCTCAGCACTCTGATGGGGCAACAGACAGAATGTCACTTAATTGCTATTTGATTGTTGAACTTCAGGGTTGTTGTTTTTTCTCCCATCCCTTTCAACTTCCCAAATAAATCTATTTCCTTAGTCAATTTATGCTTCCCAGTTTAATAGTGCATTTTACCCATTTAGGTCTGCAAATGTTCTCTGAAGTCAGCCAGTGATGATCTCAACTCACCTACAGTATAAATCTGTCAGAGAATAAACAACATCACTTTTATCTCGATGCTGATGAGACAGTACATGCCGAATTGACAGTTAAATAATTTATCTGTCTTTTGGGTGCAATCTGCCAGTATTATAATGCTACTTCTGATGCTCATTCACTTGTCTAATAGTTCTTTGCCTCATGATGCTTGTCAATCAATTAAATTGAAATGTCATTCTGACTTTTTATTGGAAACAGTTTTCCTTTTTCTTCATTTCATTGTGAGCTTTTCACTCATTTTAAAAATAATTTGTTTATTATTTTATTCTTTGTGTGTGTATGAATGTATTTCCTGCATGTATGTAAGTGCACCTCTGTCATGCAATGCCTGTGGAAGTCAGAAGAGGGTGTCGGATTTCCCTAGAACTGTGTTAGCCCAGGACCTTTGCAAGGGAAGCCAGTGATCTTAATCATCGAGCCATCTCTTTAGCCCCTGCTTTTTACTCTTTTATTCAAACCAGAAGCCCAAATAATTTGTATTCAGAAACTTTATACTAATTAATGTTGGAAAATGACCTGCTCACCAGTGACATTTTATCACTGCAGAGGTGATCCAGCTGAGTCTGCCTGAAGATCAGAGACTAAGTGTTACTGCAGCCACCGTGGGACAAAGTGCTGTTCTGAGCTGTGCCATTGTGGGAGCCCTGAGACCTCCCATCATATGGAAGAGAAACAACATTGTTCTAAATAATTTAGATTTGGAAGACATTAATGTAAGTACATAAAACAGAGATAATTTTCAATGTACATTTCACCTGGTGTACTCTAGGCTGTGTGACCTCTGGGGAGCTTAATGGATATTGGCTGTATAGTAGAGGAGAATTATTGGAATGTTGTATATCCATCCTACCAGTTGGTAGGTGCACTATAGAATGGTTGTAATTATACAGAGCGTTTGCATTGGTATAGTAAGCAGATCATGTAGCAGTGCATTAGCGAGAAAATACATCAGCCCATCATTTTTATAAGTGTCTATTTCTTGTTAAGATGCAAATAGTCTCATCCAATGAACTTGTGCATTTTCACAGAATCACCAGAATTAAAAGTTAGAATACCATCCATAAGAAATGTGGTAGTATGCTTGAATGTGTGTGTGAGAGTGTGTGTGAATGTATATATGTGTGTGAGTGTGCATGTATGTGTGAGCTCCTATGTGTGTTTATGTGTATATTTTGAAAGTATTTATAGGTATTAAAAGTGGAGGGGAGGATTAATAAATATATGGTTAGGTGAAAATATGGTATTTATATAAGGATACATGTTTTTATTCATTTAAAAATATACATTTAACTTACAGAACATTTCTAGGGCTCTATGAATTGATTCACAAAATGCAGTGGATCTAAGAATGAGATAGAAATCAGGAGATACCTGTTTGTACTTTTTTTGTAACTTGTTTGTATATCAATTCTTAAGAAAATGCATTAAATGATATAATGATGTGTTCTTGATAATAGTGTCTCCATACTTAGGAACACAGTCTAGAAGGGAAACATGTTTCTATGTCTGTTATAGCTTGACTTCCACTGATAAAATAACTTGCTATAGAACTCCATGCTTGAAAGATTTTATTCACTAGGACAAGAGAGACCATGCTTTCCTCACATAGGATGATCTGCTTTCTTACTGCAGAAAGGCTAAGTATTTTCTAAAAATGGGTAGAACAGGGTAAATAAAAAATTGCAGTCTTTTTTACTTTCCTACTCCTGGTGAAGCATCTTTGAACACCATGTCTGGATGTCAAAGCTTTATGGGAATACCTATAATTACCGACAGTTAATCTGTATGCAGTGCCACCATGATTCATCGATACCCTGAAACTTCTGAGTCAAGTAAAGACAAAGGAGTTTTACTTCAAATACTTTACAATTCTTTGGACATAATAAATATTAATTAAAACAAATAGTTAATTTTTCTAGAATGAAGGAGCATGATTCTACACTAAGGTTAACCCCTATGAATTCAAAGGAAAACTCTGCTCGGCAGGGAATGGTTTTATAGATGAAAAAGCAGTCACACAAGGCTTTCCTCGCTGTTGAGAGTTCGTGGGTGCAACTTCCGTGTTAATGTCTAGGAGACACAACTTCTCAGCAGTTCTCCCTGTCCCTGTTTTCCTTCTCTTACATTTTGTCCTTCCTTCCTTATGCAATGTTCCCTGAGTATTGCGGGCAATAATATAGATAGCCCACTCCATAGTCACTTATTCTCTCCAATTTGTCCAGTTATGAGCCTCTGTATTAACTGTAATGTACTGAAAAAAAAAAAAAAAAAAAAAAAAAGTATCAAAAAGAAAACCAAAACCTTCTACCTAAAAATATCAGGCGGCAGATACCGGCCCATTTGCCGGGCTGTGTGAGGAAGGCGTCTCGGACCGGCTAGCTTGGGGAGGGCCCGTGTATTAACTGTATAGTATTGAAAAAAAAAAAAAAAAAAAAGCTTCGCTGACTCAGGTTGAGAGCCACACTGTTCTATGAATTTGAAGACAACTGTTTAAAAGGCAGCTGAGTACTGCTTCAGTTACTCCAAATGATAGTAAGACGTTCTCCCCTAGGGACTGTGGCCTCTCCAGTCTGTTTCCATTTTTCATCATGTGATTAACATCATACAGCCCCACTGTAGGGACCAACATATAGGCTGTTTGCAAGGTCAGCTATGAGAAAGACCACCTGGTTTGCAACTGATGTTGTATTACTTAAGAGTGATAAAGAATGATGTAACTTCGTTCTCAAAATATCTTATTTAAAGTAACTGGTGCCACAGCTCCATTATAAAATTAAGATTATTTTAACAGAAATAATTTTTGGTGAGAATTATTAAGATAATCATTTTAAAGCATTTAATACCATGTAAGATATGCCATGAGCACTCAAAATTTGTCACTTTTTTATGTCTTCTGTTCTTTCCTCTTTTTTTCCTTCTCTCTCTTTCATCTCTTCCTCCTTAAACATGTTCCAAAGAACATGGATGCCTTCAATTTTGCATAAGACAATGCAGCTTTACTGTTAGGTTACATATAGTACTAAGGGAAGTTGGGTTTCATAGAAACATGAGGTTCAAAATTTATCCAGTTATAATATCTATGGGACTGGAAAGTGTTTGTTTATTTCAATTCAAGTTTATTTCAGTTGAATGAAGCTTTTAGAATCATGCTGTCATGTCTGCTTAATAATCTTTCATTAGTTCAAAAGGATAGAAGTGTATTAATTCCTCTAAATGGATCTGTTCTATCCTAAATCCTCTTTCTAACCAAATTCTTTATATTTTACATTTTACTGAATTTTTGCCATTTTTCATACAGTATAATTTTATGGTTTTTAGATCACGTCCCCTATCCCAACTCTCATTATTGTCTCCTGCCCAATTTAATATACTGTTATATATGTAGTAAAGCTTATAGAATCTAATTGTGTCTCCAAATGGATGAACCCTCAATATGGGTTCATCCATTGGAGCATGATTATCCTACCAAGAGTCCCATGCTTGAAACAGACTGTCTCTGTCCCTCCGAGCAACCATCTGTTGCCAGTTTCTGTAGGTGGGTTTGAGCGTCTTACCCACTTTTTCATGTCTATGCTGTGATTTCTTTCTGGTTTGAGGTTTCTTAGGACTTGCGTCATCATTGATGTGATTTCATATGAGCTTTGAGAGCAGAATTTTGGTATATGTGCCCTATTCAGAGATAAGCTCTCTGAAACCTCTCACTCTCTGCATACTGGTCAGTTGTGGGCTTCTGTGTTAATCACTTTCTGATGCATAAGGAAAATTATCTGGTGATACGTAAGAGATTCAATAATCTATAGGCATGACAGTAAGTCATAAAGAGTCAGTTTAATACAAAATCTATTTAGTTGATAACTAGTATTAGGCTCCTCCCTATGTCCTTTGACCTCTCTAGCTTCAGGTACTTAAGACTCATATCAATGTTAGATATGGGTTTCATCCTAGGAAGCAGACCTTAAATTAAAGAGTGGTTGGTTAGTCACACAACACTCGTGCCATTATTGCATCAGTGGGCATATCTTGCCATGACATTTATTGTAGTTCACGGGATTCACATCTGGATAAAGATGGTTATTTTTTTTCCTTCTGGAAGCTTGTATCACCTTCCAGCACCGTGAATGCTAGTCTGGACAAATTCTTGAAATAAATAATCTGGTTCTTGATTGTCAGGAAACTTTTGTCAGGGAAGTTGAATTAACAAGTGAATCAAGCATAGAAATGTAGATACATCCTCAAGAAACCTCTGGAAAATGGACAGGACTTGGCAGATAGGATTGGCAGTTGGGGTTGAGGAGTAAATATGGTGCCATGTAGACACTGGGCAGCCTCAACTAAGAAAACCATTAGTCACTGGGTAGAGAAAGATATTTTGCTTTGTTTTGTTTATTATTTGAGAGACAATAGATCTGTAACACATATAGAGCCTTGTGCATATCCTGTTTATAATATTAATAGCTATTTTACCAATCACAAATTTATACTGCATTCTGGCTTAAATTCCTCATTGAAATAAAAAAATGAATTATATTTGAGGAGGAACATAAACATTTACATCATGTTAATTAGTAGAGGTGATAAACATTACCTTTGAAATCTACCCGATGACTTTATAGACATACACAAGTGCCAAGGATCTGAGTGCAACCAATTATGACTAGCAATAATCAGATACATACAAATTAGAGACACATTCACCAACACCTCAGTGTTATTAGCAAAAACAATGAGTCTTTCTGTAAGAAACAGTATATTCTAAAATAAAATGGAGATTTTTTTTAAAGGTTAAAAAAATCATTCAATTTTATGTCTTACAGGGTTTATACTGAGTTCAATATTGTATAAGTGTATTAATTTAACAGTGAACCTAAAAATTTTATAGCCACTTTTGAAAGAGATGTATCTTTACTCTGGAAACTGTTATTGAGTATGTTAAAGCTGTAATGAAATGCTTCTTCTGAAAAATAA